AGATGAAAGAATAACAGTTTTGAGCAGCTAATTACCAACTCTAACCACCCCTATCACTTTTTGACGGATTTGGGAAATTCAATTTTTTTGTGATTTTTTAACTTTTTTTAAGGGGTAACATCAACAAAATTTGCAAAAAATGTCCAAAAAATGTAATTCCTATTTTTGGACACAGTTCGATTGGAAATTTAAAGCCGAGCTCAACGAGGTATGGCATTCCATATTCAGACAATTATTTTTAAAGTTGTGGCAAAAAAATTGATTATTTTATGTCGGAAAATCGGAAAAATGACTTTTGGCAAATATTCGCTATTTTGGATGGGAATTTTAATCATAACTTCCATAAAAATTATCATAAAGATGAAAGAATAACAGTTTTGAGCAGCTAATTACCAACTCTAACCACCCCTATCACTTTTTGACGGATTTGGGAAATTCAATTTTTTTGTGATTTTTTAACTTTTTTTAAGGGGTAACATCAACAAAATTTGCAAAAAATGGCCAAAAAATGTAATTCCTATTTTTGGACACAGTTCGATTGGAAATTTAAAGCCGAGCTCAACGAGGTATGGCATTCCATATTCAGACAATTATTTTTAAAGTTGTGGCAAAAAAATTGATTATTTTATGTCGGAAAATCGGAAAAATGACTTTTGGCAAATATTCGCTATTTTGGATGGGAATTTTAATCATAACTTCCATAAAAATTATCATAAAGATGAAAGAATAACAGTTTTGAGCAGCTAATTACCAACTCTAACCACCCCTATCACTTTTTGACGGATTTGGGAAATTCAATTTTTTTGTGATTTTTTAACTTTTTTTAAGGGGTAACATCAACAAAACTTGCAAAAAATGTCCAAAAAATGTAATTCCTATTTTTGGACACAGTTCGATTGGAAATTTAAAGCCGAGCTCAACGAGGTATGGCATTCCATATTCAGACAATTATTTTTAAAGTTGTGGCAAAAAAATTGATTATTTTATGTCGGAAAATCGGAAAAATGACTTTTGGCAAATATTCGCTATTTTGGATGGGAACTTTAATCATAACTTCCATAAAAATTATCATAAAGATGAAAGAATAACAGTTTTGAGCAGCTAATTACCAACTCTAACCACCCCTATCACTTTTTGACGGATTTGGGAAATTCAATTTTTTTGTGATTTTGTAACTTTTTTTAAGGGGTAACATCAACAAAATTTGCAAAAAATGGCCAAAAAATGTAATTCCTATTTTTGGACACAGTTCGATTGGAAATTTAAAGCCGAGCTCAACGAGGTATGGCATTCCATATTCAGACAATTATTTTTAAAGTTGTGGCAAAAAAATTGATTATTTTATGTCGAAAAATCGGAAAAATGACTTTTGGCAAATATTCGCTATTTTGGATGGGAACTTTAATCATAACTTCCATAAAAATTATCATAAAGATGAAAGAATAACAGTTTTGAGCAGCTAATTACCAACTCTAACCACCCCTATCACTTTTTGACGGATTTGGGAAATTCAAATTTTTTTGTGATTTTTTAACTTTTTTTTAAGGGGTAACATCAACAAAATTTGCAAAAAATGGCCAAAAAATGTAATTCCTATTTTTGGACACAGTTCGATTGGAAATTTAAAGCCGAGCTCAACGAGGTATGGCATTCCATATTCAGACAATTATTTTTAAAGTTGTGGCAAAAAAATGGATTATTTTATGTCGGAAAATCGGAAAAATGACTTTTGGCAAATATTCGCTATTTTGGATGGGAACTTTAATCATAACTTCCATAAAAATTATCATAAAGATGAAAGAATAACAGTTTTGAGCAGCTAATTACCAACTCTAACCACCCCTATCACTTTTTGACGGATTTGGGAAATTCAATTTTTTTGTGATTTTTTAACTTTTTTTAAGGGGTAACATCAACAAAATTTGCAAAAAATGGACAAAAAATGTAATTCCTATTTTTGGACACAGTTCGATTGGTAATTTAAAGCCGAGCTCAACGAGGTATGGCATTCCATATTCAGACAATTATTTTTAAAGTTGTGGCAAAAAAATTGATTATTTTATGTCGGAAAATCGGAAAAATGACTTTTGGCAAATATTCGCTATTTTGGATGGGAATTTTAATCATAACTTCCATAAAAATTATCATAAAGATGAAAGAATAACAGTTTTGAGCAGCTAATTACCAACTCTAACCACCCCTATCACTTTTTGACGGATTTGGGAAATTCAATTTTTTTTGTGATTTTTTAACTTTTTTTTAAGGGGTAACATCAACAAAATTTGCAAAAAATGGCCAAAAAATGTAATTCCTATTTTTGGACACAGTTCGATTGGAAATTTAAAGCCGAGCTCAACGAGGTATGGCATTCCATATTCAGACAATTATTTTTAAAGTTGTGGCAAAAAAATGGATTATTTTATGTCGGAAAATCGGAAAAATGACTTTTGGCAAATATTCGCTATTTTGGATGGGAACTTTAATCATAACTTCCATAAAAATTATCATAAAGACGAAAGAATAACAGTTTTGAGCAGCTAATTACCAACTCTAACCACCCCTATCACTTTTTGACGGATTTGGGAAATTCAATTTTTTTGTGATTTTTTAACTTTTTTTAAGGGGTAACATCAACAAAATTTGCAAAAAATGGCCAAAAAATGTAATTCCTATTTTTGGACACAGTTCGATTGGAAATTTAAAGCCGAGCTCAACGAGGTATGGCATTCCATATTCAGACAATTATTTTTAAAGTTGTGGCAAAAAAATTGATTATTTTATGTCGGAAAATCGGAAAAATGACTTTTGGCAAATATTCGCTATTTTGGATGGGAATTTTAATCATAACTTCCATAAAAATTATCATAAAGATGAAAGAATAACAGTTTTGAGCAGCTAATTACCAACTTTAACCACCCCTATCACTTTTTGACGGATTTGGGAAATTCAATTTTTTTGTGATTTTTTAACTTTTTTTTAAGGGGTAACATCAACAAAATTTGCAAAAAATGGCCAAAAAATGTAATTCCTATTTTTGGACACAGTTCGATTGGTAATTTAAAGCCGAGCTCAACGAGGTATGGCATTCCATATTCAGACAATTATTTTTAAAGTTGTGGCAAAAAAATTGATTATTTTATGTCGGAAAATCGGAAAAATGACTTTTGGCAAATATTCGCTATTTTGGATGGGAACTTTAATCATAACTTCCATAAAAATTATCATAAAGATGAAAGAATAACAGTTTTGAGCAGCTAATTACCAACTCTAACCACCCCTATCACTTTTTGACGGATTTGGGAAATTCAATTTTTTTGTGATTTTTTAACTTTTTTTAAGGGGTAACATCAACAAAATTTGCAAAAAATGGCCAAAAAATGTAATTCCTATTTTTGGACACAGTTCGATTGGAAATTTAAAGCCGAGCTCAACGAGGTATGGCATTCCATATTCAGACAATTATTTTTAAAGTTGTGGCAAAAAAATTGATTATTTTATGTCGGAAAATCGGAAAAATGACTTTTGGCAAATATTCGCTATTTTGGATGGGAATTTTAATCATAACTTCCATAAAAATTATCATAAAGATGAAAGAATAACAGTTTTGAGCAGCTAATTACCAACTCTAACCACCCCTATCACTTTTTGACGGATTTGGGAAATTAAATTTTTTTGTGATTTTTTAACTTTTTTTTAAGGGGTAACATCAACAAAATTTGCAAAAAATGGCCAAAAAATGTAATTCCTGTTTTTGGACACAGTTCGATTGGAAATTTAAATACGATCTCAACGAGGTATGGCATTCCATATTCAGACAATTTTTTTAAAAGTTGTGGCAATGAAACTGATTATTTTATGTCGGAAAATCGGAAAAATGACTTCTGGCAAATATTCGCTATTTTGGATGGGAATTTTAATCATAACTTCCATAAAAATTATCATAAAGATGAAAGAATAACAGTTTTGAGCAGCTAATTACCAACTCTAACCACCCCTATCACTTTTTGACGGATTTGGGAAATTCAATTTGTTTGTGATTTTTTAACTTTTTTTTAAGGGGTAACATCAACAAAATTTGCAAAAAATGGCCAAAAAATTTAATTCCTGTTTTTGGACACAGTTCGATTGCAAATTTAAATACGAGCTCAACAAGGTATGGCATTCCATATTCAGACAATTGTTTTAAAAGTTGTGGCAAAGAAACTGATTATTTTATGTCGGAATATCGGAAAAATGACTTTTGGCAAATATTCGCTATTTTGGATGGGAATTTTCATCATAACTTCCATATTTATCATAAAGATGATTATCATAAATTATCATAAAGATGAAAGAATAACAGTTTTGATCAGCTTATTACCAACGCTAACCAAAACTTTCACATATTTATGAGCCTGAAAGTTTCTTGCTGCTTCCCTTTCTTGTAGTGGAGGTACAGAACTCAAGCCGATCGCCAATCTCTAAGTCGGTGTTTTTTTTTGCTAGTTCAAAATGACAATAGGATGCCACCATATTGGTAAATACTTACTCTTTTTGTCAAAGGCAGTCTTAATAAATGCTAACCCGACTGAAAGTTGAGCTCAGAAAGCTCAGTTCCATCTGACCCCGTACTATCGATGCTAATCCGAAATAGGGGCATGAAAATTGATAAGGTTTGATGGTTATCGGGTAAATATATGACCGATCGCAGGAAATAAATAATGGATAATCTCGAGGTAATCTGGATTTGCAGTGGAAAGCATAATGAATCAGGTGCAGGCGATTGATTGTTTGTTTTTCCTGTTATTTTATTTTATTTATGCAAAATATTTCGAAAAAGAACACAAAAATTCAAAATCAAATTATATGATTATACATTGAGAATTGTTTTGGTTTTCTTTTCTTTGTTGTTCTGTATTTCCTCCGCATTCTTATGTTTTATATTTGGTTTTCCCTCATTGGATCTTTGTGTGAAACATTATACAATTTTCCTGGCTTTTCCTGCCTTTTCCTGGCTTTTCCTGGGTTTCTTGCGCCCCCGGCTTTAGTGTAATAATGTCCAACATATCCAACCGGATAGATCGACAAGAATCAAAGATCGTCGATCGCAGATCGCCGACCGCCGATCGAAGATCAAATATCGGGGCTTAATCGCCAGGACAGAATGCTGAAATATTTCCACATTAATAATAGTATATGTAGCGTACAATTATTGTTGCAATTACAATTGTCTTCGAGTACATTTAATATTTAAATTTTTATATACTTTTCTCCAACTTAGTTTTCTGCTCGTCCAAAAATCATAGTTCGACTAAAAGAATTACACAAATTGTTGCTCTTATTTGCTGTATTCTTCTCATTACAATTTACTTGTTTTTGCTTTTTGTTTTATTATTATATTATTTATTTTCACTTGGTTTTCAATGATGAGACTACGACAAAAACACATGCGATTTCATTATAATTTTGTTGTTCTTGCTTTCTCGTATTTTGTTTGTTTGTTTTGCATTTAATTTTTGTGTAAATCTTCTTTACTTTATGATATTCTATACGTTTCCATTTATTTTATTCTTTATTTAATTTTATTTATGCAGGACGGGGTTTATTTCTTACACATTTGCATCATTTTTGTTTTTTTGTTCCTTTCTTCGCTTATACTTTTCGCTTTTTTTGTTTTTTGGTTTTGCTTTTTGCTTCACTAAGTGTAAATATCAATTGTTTTTTCTTTTTTTGTTGTTTTTGTTTTATATATGTATACTTTTTTCATTTTTTCTTGTTGTTCTTGTTGCATTAATGAATAAATTAAAAAATATTCAAGCTTTGACTAGTAAGATTTCTTCTTATTTGCTTTTTGTGTAGTTGATTTGCCATTTTGTTTTTCCTCTTGAAATATATATATGTTTGTAATACATTATATAACGTGTCTGTCTATGTCTGTGTCGTGGAGCGCCGTGGATTCGCCTTGATTGCCATGCTTTTGAAACGTGGTAACAGTATCTGCCAATATCGGATGTCTTTGATAGAGCAAAGTGTGCTAAACAATCCCTACATTCATGTCATTCAAATAGCCATTACAATTTAGGTCAATTCAAATCAGAACTTAATCAGAACTGGATACTGAACTTAAAAACCATCACAAAATATTGTCCGAAACTGATGTGCAACTGAATATAAATGCCACAAATGTCGGCTTAAATCTGAGCTTGGCGACATCGATTTGGCGAAATCTCAGCGTTGATCTGAGTTCCAGTTTCAGCTTTAATGGGTACTGAACTCGTTTAATAGTTTCGGCCGAAACTTCACTTCCTGTGAAGTATGTGCCGAAGTGAGTCAGTCCAAGAAGTTGGCCAGCATCAGCCGCAATTGAAAATAAACGTAAGCCAAAACGTAAATGGAAATCGAACTGAGAAGGGCAGCCACTTGTCGGCTTTCGGCGGGGAAAGCATTTCGATTATTTGGCTTGATTGAGTAACAGTATCTCGCTGCTCGAACAAAACAGGCCAAATATTTGCCAAGCAATCGAGCCGTGAAATGAACTAGCCGCTTCGAATTGGTTTATCTCTGGGCCTCGGGTTCTTCGGAGCGTCCACTCTAGGTGGTGGTGCCGTCTCCGAGCTGCGAGCTCCCTGGATTTCGCGATACATTATCTCTTTTCTGCGGCAGTTGGCTGGCTCTAAGGCAATTATGCAATATGATTGCTCGATATGAAATGCAACAACTCAACTCTACTTGGCTCAAGGGCTCCGTTCAGTGTGTGTGTGTGTGTGTGCTGTGTGTGCTGTGTGTGTGAGGTGTGACTGCTGTCTTGTTTTGTGCTGTATTTTCGGTGAAAATGTACGTAAAAAAGAGAGAAATCCTTTTTGTTCTGGTTTTTGTTCGACCATCGACTTACACACAAAATATGCAGAAAAAGTTCTAAAATTTGTTCGCTTTTCGTTTTAATATTTGGTTTTTGCCTCTTTTGTTTCTGTCTGCAATTAGCTTAGCGTTTTGCATTGTTTCTGTTACATAGCTGATTCGTATATTATATTCAAAGCCCGCCAAGCGTCGTCGTTCTTCCCTAGCTGGCTGACCTTCGACCTTCGACCTTTGGTTTGTGTGGCTCGTGTATAGATACATAAATACATTTATGGACATTTCTTCTGCTGTAAATATTTTGTATATATTTTGCGTGTGTGTGTGGGTATAACTTGTTGTGTTTGCGTGGCTTGTGTGTTTCCTTCTCTGGTGAGTGTGTGTGTGTGGCTCACACAGAGAGAAAGTTCGACATATACACAAGCGCATATGCACGATCGTATAGGGATTAGTACGCGTAGGTAGCTCTTGGGTTCACAAGTGTCTCAGTGTGAGAGATTCTGTGTCTGTGTGTTGGTGTTTCTGCCTCCTGCTCTCCTGCTCTCCTCTTCTAGCTCTTTGTGCCGCTCTAATTAATGGCGCAAGTTTTTGGTAAGAATCGCAAGGCTTGCAAGCATTCTAGCACCACGAAACGCTCAAAAATATGCTACGAAGCAGGCATGAATGCGTTTGTGTCTTAGTCTGTGTCTTCCTGACAGTGTAGGTGTGACTGTGACTGCGACAGTGTTGTGTGAGTGGAATGTGGGCGTGTGTGTGTGTTGACAATTTATTTACTAGGAATATCTTTTGTTTTGCTCTTCTTCCGCTCTTCTCCTTCCTCCCCTTCCCTGCTCCACCGTTATTCGTTCGGCTGCGAGTGTGATCTTTGATTGAGAGCTTTGGCGCTCAAGAAGAATCACAAAGTGAGAGGATGTGTCTGTGAGTGTGATTGTGTGCTTGTGGGGGTGTGGTGATGGGACAGAGACAGAGACGGAGACAGGGGAGGAGAAAGAGAGAGCTGGAAAGGATGTTTACGGCGTTTTGTTAAACATTCAAATACTTAAATTTAATTGCTTGCTTTATATTGTTGCCTTTCTGCTTGCTTGCTTTAATTTAATATATAGATATATTACCATTTATTGAATTTATCTTTCTTCTTCTACCCTTCCATTCTTCCTTATTGAAACTGCGCTCCTTTTGACGAAAAAAAAATCATTTCTCTTCCCATCTGCTTTAATATTACGCTTAAGTTTTTCCATTTTGAAATCGCGGTGGCTGCTGTTTCTGTTGCTTTTGCATTTGCTGTTGTTGTTGTTGTTGATGTGTGCCACTCGCTCGCTCTTGTCAGCCGCGCCCATGCTGCCATCTCGCTTACTCTTTCACTTCAAAATACTTGTAGGTCGGATTCTCGTACCCATTGATCTGCATGTTGGGCACGATCTTCTCCTCGCGCACGATGGGATGGTGTGTTGTGACGTTCTAGTGGTGATAAGAGGTGGATGAGTGAGTTATGTCCTACTGGGATGTGACCTACTGTCCGTCCACTGCACCCACGAAGTTGTCATACACGAGCTGAACACGGTGATGAAGCAAACCGGTTCAAACCGAACCTCCTGTATGACAACCTGGCGGTCTGCGGCAGCCAAACACTGACCCACCTGACAACCCACCTGGTCGACCTCGATGAAGCCCTGGGCGTGCGGCGAGCGCGATGTTCGCCACTTGGCCACGGCCACGCCCACGAAGACGGCCGCCATCAGGGCGATCCCGGCGAAGGAGAGCGTGAAGTAGACGTTGCGGCCCTCCTTGGCCGCGTGCGCATGCTGCGCGAACTCGCGGCGCAGCGAGAAGCTCTGCAACGAGAGGGGAGAGAGAGAGAGGGGATAGGCTTTAGGCAAATGCGGCACGAGTTGGCGCCGCAGCTCAAATACCGATTCGCGGTGGCCCAGGTCGTGGGTCATGAAGTGCTGCACCTGCGGCTCGGCCTCCTGGTGGGCGACGGCGGCGGCTACGTCCTCCACCGCCCGCTGGACGGCATCGTCGTCGACGGTGGGCAACACGGTCTGCAACTTGGTGCTGCTGCAAGAGGGAGTGGGCTCGTTAGTCCTAGACTGGGGTGTGCACTAGCTGAAGGGGACCCACCTCATTGTTGCCTCGCCATACTCAGTGTCCGACAGCTCCTTCTCGCTTTTGGTGGTCTCTAGGTTGGGATTGGCCGCTGTGACCAGGGCTCCGTCGGGACCCATCTGCTTGCCGGCTAGGCTCTTTTCCTGCTGCTGCTGCTGCGCCTGCGATTGGGTTGACGACTGGGTCGACTGGGACTGCTGCTCGGCCACCTGTGACTTGAGCATGTCGTCCACCTTTTTGGCCTCCAGGCGCAGCTTCTCCTCGCGCAGTTTTTCCCGCTCGGCGGCACGCTGCTCCTTGCGTTGCTTCTCCGCCAGCCGCAGTCGCTCCTTCTCGGCCACCTTGCGCTCGATCTCGACGCGGTACTTGTCCAGAATCCCGGCCTCCGCCTCCTCGCTCATCCCCAGCGAGGAGCCGGGAATGTCATCCTTGCTGCGCAGTGCCAGGATGTAGTCGTTCATCAGCTGGGCAATCTTGGCCGACAGCTCTGGATAGCGCTTGAGCATGGTCATCGACTGGTTGACGGCACGATCGATGTCGATGAGGCGCTCCAGTGTGCGTGGACGCTCCGAAGCAGCAGCTTCCAGTCCGCCAGGTCCTCCGGAGTTCAATAGGTGCCGGTAGTGGGCCAGGGCGTGGGCCCGGTCCTTGTGCAGGGCGCGCAGTAGCTTCTGTAGACACTTCTCAACGTGGTGGGCCTAGAGGACATCAAAGAAGTTAGCACAGATCAAGTATCTGCCTATCTATAGGAGGGGGCTAATGGCAATGTTTCTATCTATCTAATCAGGTCCTCGACAAGATGAAGCAATTAGCCCACCTCGTGGCTCCTGCTCCACGCAGGACGAGCTACTCACATTCGGGGGCTGCTCAGTCAGGGCCTGGGTGTAGCAGGTCATGGCCTCGCGCTTCCGCTGGTTGATGTGGGCCAAAACGCGCTGCTGGTGCATGGCGGCCAGCTGGTGCTTCTCGGCGTTGCCTTCTTCCTCGAGTGCCTGAACAGAAGTCTAAAATTACATTCCCATATAAAGACGTATTGCACACCAAGAGAGAAAGATTATCAGCATGGGGAATTTGCGGCGATCGATAACAATTTGCAGCTGTCGATCAGTCTATTGGTACTTTGGTTATTCTCGCTCAAGTTTTCGAAAAGGTTGCCTCGATTCGTAACCGTCTCGTGGGGGATTGTGGTCCAAGTGTCTAAAGTTCACTTCTAGTTGGTAGTGTGTGCTGCCATGAGGGAGCGAAAAGGTCCTGTTCGGGTTCTGAGTGGGTTTCGGTTTCGGTTTCGGGGTCTATGGACTTGGTATTTGGTATATGATTATGATATGATATGGTACGATACGATATGATATAGTATATGGTGGATATGGTATATGTACATGTACAGGTACGCAATTTATTTGCGGCAACAGCAATGCTTGCGGATGTGCAGCGATTACGTAAACAGCACACATCGATAAGGACCAAATTGAAATCGTCGCAGGTTATTCGTTCGTTCGTGTCCGTTTTCGGTGATAGATTTTTGGATATCCGGATTACAAAATGATAAACTAAGGATACGTTTAGGTACTCTTGTGGGTTGTGGCTAGGTGTAGGCGAGTTATAGTTAGTTTATATGCCAATCAGTTTGACTACAAAGCACTTGCAATGTTAGTAATATGAGTATTGGATCTATTGATTCGTTGATGTTGTGGAACTGTTTTTTAACTGGTTAGATTTCGAGCAGCATTATCGTTATTGTTACTGGTATTCCTAATGCTGTTGTGATTACAATCTGATGCCTCTTTCGCTCCCATTTGCCATACATATGGATACACAAATGAACAAAACCTGCCCGACGAAGCCCAGAATATGGGAAGTTCTACCTTATCAACGGTATTACCCAAGTTAACGGTATTTCTGGACCTCGTAGCGCAGAAAACAAAGGAGATGATACTTGATGCCGAAAATATGAATATAATAAGCTACGATAATGACTAGAGTACAAACAATCACGATCACGATATACAGGGTGCATGATAATGAGAAAGCAAACAGAAATCAACTCAACCAAAAGATATATAACTACATATGGATTGAATACTTCTTATGAGGCCTATAACTTCGGAGACTTCAGGTGGCAGAGGTTGATTTTCGATTGATTATCAACACAGATGTAGTGAACTTCTTTCGTTAGTTAGAACTCAGGGACTGGATTAACTGGAATTGATTTCCGATCAAGTAATTACTGCAAAAGCAGAGGGGCTTCTCTCTTTACCAATCCCCTGCCAAGTGGAGCTCTCCGTACACATACACACACATTCAGATGCGGAGATATAGCTTTGAAATGTATCAAACATTCTACAGGATGGGGCAGGTGGTCGACGGGAGGCAGAGAGGGGGTTCGGTGCGAGGCAGATACAGATACAGATACAGATACAGTGACAGAGACAGAGACATAGTGATGCGTAGAGACAGTGAGAGTAAGAGTGAGAGAGGTGTGGGGATGGGGAGACTGGAGATGAGTGCGTCACACGGAGGATGACTGACCTGGAAGCGAGCCGTCATCCGCTGCTTAAAGGACTGGGCTGCCTTGGGGTCCGCTAGGCGCATGTCCTGGTACTTCTCCTCGAGATCGGACCAGTCCTTCATCACGCGCGTGACCTTCTCGCGGTGCGATTCCTCAAGGCGCTGTTGGGCTTCCTTTGTTTAGAATACGTTTTGTGTTGCATCGATAAATAAACCTGCGCCCTCAACGTAAACACTTACTTTCTGACTTACTTTGTAGCTCTGGTGCTCGTAGTGCGGATCAAAGTGGGTGAAGTAGGGGTCCGAAGTGGGTTGTGCCGTGGATGGTGGGGCTCCGGCTCCGGCTCCAGCTCCAGCTGCCGAGTTTCCAGAATTGGCAGCTACAAAAGCAGCGGCAGAGGCGGATAGCTGAGGAGTGCTCGTGACCGATTCGGACTTCACAGGCGCCTTCTCGGGGGCGGGAGCAGCCGCAGCAGCAGCCGCAGCGCTGGACGGGGACGAGGCATCGCTCTTGAGGGACACGACCTTGGCTCCTCCACTCTGATCCCAGGAGGCCTCGACCTCAGCCTCGCTCTCGGAACCAGCACCGTCCTCCTCGTAGTTGTCGCCCTCCTCGCCGCTGTCGTACTCCGCGTTTATGTCGTCCAATGATCCGCTATTCGAGTCGCCGGCGGATCCAGTGCTTCCGCCTGCGGTAGCTGCCTCATCCGCAACCATATCATCCTCCTCATCATCGCCCATCAAATCGTCCTCATCGTCCAGATCGTCTTCATTGGCATCCTTCGAGTAGTTTGAGTCGTTGCTGTCGTCCTCGTCATTCATTACCAGCTCGTCATTGGCGCTATTGATCTGAGCTGCCGGCATCACTGGCAAGTCGGTCTTCTTCACGTGGATTTCATCGGCTAGGGGGGGTAGGGAGGGGAAACTGCAATCCTCGTCTTGAATTAGTTGATGTAGTCAGTACTCACTCTTGAAGTGCTTGGGACAGCAGACGAACTCCACGCCGGAGAAGACCGAGATGCCGCAGGGCAGAAGCATGGCGAAGCTGCGCATCTGCATTCCGCGCTCCTGGCAAGCGGCTGCTCCGGTTTGGTTCCACCTCACAAATGGCCAGCATCGGGAGGCGTTGTGGATGTGGTCGAACAGACAGCCCTCGGGAACCAGCAGGGCGTCAGATTGGAATGGTCCTTCTGAAGCCAAACGTCATCGAGTCGTAGGTGATGCATGAAGGATGGTAAGGGCAAAGGCAAGGTAGGAAAGTGGATCAGTTCAGATCTGGGTGATACGCCTGAATTGGGTCCATAACCTTTTTGGTACACTTACCGAGACAGCGGAATGGCTTGATCCATCGGTGGGATCCCTTGCACTTGGCCGCATTCAGAGCTCCCTGGCGACACCAGCCTCCGATCTTCTGGTAGTGGGATGACTCCACGATGTTGGTTATGTCTCGGTTGGGATAGGCCTGATAAGATGGATAGCAGACATGTTAATTCACTCGCACTCTATTAGTGTGTAAAAGGGTTAAAAGGGTTGAGTTTCTCCAGAGTTTCAACCAGAGATTTTTAATTCCCCGAGCTGTTCAATTTATTGTTAATCAAGTTTCAATTGGCGGCGGTTCTGATGAACTTCATCTATCTGAAAGGACTTCCCCCCGTTCGTGCCCTGCCCACTTCCTCTGTTATCCTGCGAACCCATACCGATTCCTCCTTGAACCCAGCGCTGTTCGCCAGGCTGTTTGCCATTTGATGTGTTTATTTCCCACCGACTGGCTGTTCCTGTTACCTTTGGCTTCCGACAGCGGGCAGTGAAAGTTTAATTGCCTGCCCAGCTTGATTGACTGGCTAAATGACTGACTAACTGAATGGCCTAATAAAATATCCCAGATTTGTCTGTGTGGGTGCACATGAGTGTGTGCACTACATTTGTTTCAAACAATTATGTGCCGAGTGGCACACACTCTGCTGGATCTCTGGATCCGCACTCCCCACCCCCACCCCCTCCTCCTTCTCCTTCTCCCCCGCAGTCGTCCTGCACACACACACACAAACACACAGGCACACGCACACAACAGCTCGTGAAAATGAGGCCTTTTTAACTGCTGTTTGAGTGCTCCATTGCAAATGGTTGCCGTGCTGTGGGAGGGAAAGCGGCGGACTGTTGGAGGTACCCCTCGTCCTCACTGGCAGAAATCAGGAAGTGGTGGCGGAGGGGAAGAGAGTGGCAAGAATTCAGTGCAAACGGCACGTAGGCAATGCTCGCAGGCGGTCAGACAGCACCCACGCCTCACAGGTATTACCAGACCACATCCCCATTCCCATACCCATGCACCCCCATCCCCATCCCATCTGCCCTCCACTCCTTTCGGCCGCACTGCAATGGCTGTCGGCAACCGGGCTAAATAAAACATTAAAAGCACAAAATAATGATGCTGATGCATGTCAAGCCAAACTGAAAACCGTAAGCCCAAGGCCCAAGGCCCCAGCCCCTCATGACTGGACTACTCGACAACTCGACTGCCGGACTGCTGGACTGTCGGACTGCCGGACTCCTGGGCCTGCGGAAGAAGAGGAAATAAACCGATTCCCGGGCATCGGGCCTTGTGTGGTGAGGGTCATTGCATATGCCAGCGATATCCAAGCCGGACCATGAACCGCACAGGCAGTAAAATGGAGTACACTTCGAGTAGGAAGTGGGGAAATTGGGGATTATTCAAATTATTGGAAATTAGGAGAGTTTGTGGGTGACCAACGATCGTTTGGTTTTCGGTAGCAACCTGCTGCTGATTATGATCGCCTGGTAATTCAATCCGAAAATTCTCACTATTTTGCCTACAAAATGTACATTTTGCCTACAAAATTTACATTTTCATGGCAAATTGTAAATTTTTCGGGTTGAACTACCAGGCGATCATAATAAGTAGCAGGTTGCTACCGAAAACCAAACGATCGTTGGTCACCTTCTGGAATTCTCTGTTCGCCTTGTAATTTAAACCGAAAAATCTGCAATTTGCCATGAAAATGTAAATTTTGTAGGCAAAATAGTGAGATTTTTCGGTTTGAGTTACCAGGCGAACAGGAAATCCAGAAGGTGACCAACGATCGTTTGGTTTTCGGTAGCAACCTGCTGCTGATTATGTTCGCCTGGTAATTCAATCCGAAAATTCTCACTATTTTGCCTACAAAATGTACATTTTGCAGGCAAAATTGTGAGATTTGTCGGTTTGAATTACCAGGCGAACAGGAAATCCAGATGGTGACCAACGATCGTTTGGTTTTCGGTAGCAACCTGCTACTTATTATGATCGCCTGGTAATTCAAACCTAAAATTCTCACTATTTTGCCTACAAAATGTACATTTTTATGGCAAATTGCAGATTTTTCGGTTTAAATTACAAGGCGAACAGGAAATCCAGAAGGTGACCAACGATCGTTTGGTTTTCGGTAGCAACCTGCTACTTATTATGATCGCCTGGTAGTTCAACCCGAAAAATTTACAATTTGCCATGAAAATGTAAATTTTGTAGGCAAAATAGTGAGATTTTTCGGTTTGAGTTACCAGGCGAACAGGAATTCCAGAAGGTGACCAACGATCGTTTGGTTTTCGGTAGCAACCTGCTACTTATTATGATCGCCTGGTAATTCAAACCTAAAATTCTCACTATTTTGCCTACAAAATGTACATTTTTATGGCAAATTGCAGATTTTTCGGTTTAAATTACAAGGCGAACAGGAAATCCAGAAGGTGACCAACGATCGTTTGGTTTTCGGTAGCAACCTGCTACTTATTATGATCGCCTGGTAGTTCAACCCGAAAAATTTACAATTTGCCATGAAAATATACATTTTGTAGGCAAAATAGTGAGATTTTTCGGTTTGAATTACCAGGCGAACAGGAATTCCAGAAGGTGACCAACGATCTTTTGGTTTTCGGTAGCAACCTGCTGCTGATTATGATCGCCTGGTATTTCAAGCCGAAAAATCTACAATTTGCTATAAAAATGTTTATTTTGTAGGCAAAATAGTGAGATTTTTGGGTTTAAATTACCAGGCGAACAGGAATTCCAGAAGGTGACCAGCGATCTTTTGGTTTTCGGTAGCAACCTACTGCTGATTATGATCTCCTGGTAATTCAGTCCGAAAAGTCTACAATTTGCCATAAAAATGTACATTTTGTAGGCAAAATAGTGAGATTTTTGGGTTTGAATTACCAGGCGAACAGGAATTCCAGAAGGTGACCAACGATCTTTTGGTTATTGGTAGCAAACTGCTGGTGATTATGATCGCCTAGTAATTCAATCCGAAAAGTCTACAATTTGCATTGAATATGTTTGAATTACCAGGCAAACAGGAAATCCAGAAGGTGACCAACGATCTCTTGGTTTTCGATATGTATGTATGTATGTATGTATGTATGTATGTATGTATGTATGTATGTATGTATGTCTGTATGTACATATGCATGTTGTGTAACTACAATTTGCCATAAATATTTACATTTTGTAGGCAAAATAGTGAGATTTTTGGGTTTGAATTACCAGGCGAACAGGAATTCCAGAAGGTGACCAACGATCTTTTGGTTTTCGGTAGCAACCTACTGCTGATTATGATCGCCTGGTAAATCAATCCGAAAAATCTACAATGTGCCAACAAAATTAACATTATGCAGGCAAAATTGTGAGATTTTTCGGTTTAAATTACCAGGCGAACAGGAATTCCAGAAGGTGACCAACGATCGTTTGGTTTTCGGTAGCAACCAGCTGCTGATTATGATCGCCTGCTAATTCAATCCGAAAACTCTACAATTTGCCATAAATATTTACATTTTGGAGACGAAATTGCGAGATTTTTCGGTTTAAATTACCAGGCGAACAGGAATTCCAGAAGGTGACCAACGATCGTTTGGTTTTCGGTAACAACTTGCTGCTGATTATGATCGCCTGGTAATTCAATTCGAAAAATCTACAATTTGCCATGCTTTCGGTATGTATGTATGTTTTCGGTATGTATGTATGGTTTTCGGTATGTATGTATGTATGTATGTATGTATGTATGTATGTATGTATGTATGTATGTATGTATGTATGTATGTATGTATGTATGTATGTATGTATGTATGTATGTATGTATGTATGTATGTATGTATGTATGTATGTATGTATGTATGTATTTATGTATGTATGTATGTATGTATGTATGTATGTATGTATGCGTATGCGTGTACATATGTACAGCAGTTTGCTATGTATGCGTATGCATGTACATATGTACAGCAGTTTGCTACCGCAAAGGATGCCGCTGACGATATCGATGGGAAAGCCGTCGGTCCACGGCAGCAGATCGGAACACCCCAACTAGGAGACGGAGACAGAAGGCCACCGCCAGAGTTCCCGCGGGGATTCACTGTGCGCCCAGTTGTGTTTTCATTTCGGTTCGGAGGTTGCGTGCGTGCCAGCGACACGATTGAAGCCATGGCGACTCCAAGGACCAAGGACCCTGCCGCACCGAAAGGTTGAGGGAGCGCACATCATCGGCGGTGGGTGTGGCCATGGGATCGGGGGGTCGGGGATTGGGGGATTGGGGACCTCCCACGACAGCATGTCACTCTCATGGCCCAGTGCCTGACCAGAGCGCTCGATGGAGTACACATAAACGAGCCCTAGGCCCATGGATACACACACCCGCACACAGCCAGCAACCCAGCCAGAAAGTGAGACTCACTTTCGCAGGACTCATTCCGGCCGTCGTCCTGCCTGAAATGTGTTCGTTATACTTGGCTTAATCAAAACATATTCAGCCGAGCGTGCGGCTGTTTAAGTGGCTCGCTTGAGAGAGTTTGCCGCAAATAAGCGCGGCGCAAGTTATTGTAACAGCATTTGATTCTTTTGTTTCGGCAAGCCCCTACCTCCCTACCTCCCTACCTCCGCCCAAAACCCACAGCCCACAGCCCACACAGCTAACCTAATTGTATGAAACAACAGAGAGCAAAAAATCCATGCATCGCTGCACCGCCCGGTGGGTGTGCGAATGCGTCCATGTGAGTGAATGCTCGCTAATGACAGACAAACAATTAAACTTGACATTTCGCCATTGTTTTGCTCCGCACACACACACACACACACAGCCATGCACGGCATTATGGAATTACAGGACACGACGACAGGACATGGCTGCCCTGCCCACCCTCTCCACCAGTATCCTTGAGCAAGGCAACCAGCCGGGCCTGGATGCGCGGTCATCAATGGCAGCGCCATCGCCATCGACGTCCTTCGGATTCGTTTCTACATCGCTGACTGCATCTGCAGTCCTTAAGCTAAAGGATTTGGAACCCGATCGGATGTGACCCCACCATGTTTGATTACTTTTTACTTCTGAATACTTGGAGGGGCATTTGGAAGGTGGCCACTTAAAAAACGCAACTGTTTCACCAACTGCATAAGCGGTTTGCCGAACGCCTGAAAAAAGC